CCATCAATCTCCAAGGTCCAGGGCAATACTGGAAATCTGGTCCAGTTCAAAGATTCAATTAATCCTACACTACATGTGCCTTGGGTCTCACCCTGGCGGCAGAGACAGGCCACCCCAACATTTGGCAGCACACCAGTGTCAGCCTTGGCAGGAAAAATCTCCCCAGACTTACCCAACGGTTGTGAACATTCTAAACTAACACGAGTCTCATAAGTGTCCAGTTTAAGGGTATTACACAGAAACACACCACAGGAACATGAATCAAATATGTACTTTATTCATTTACAATAAATTCATAATGTACATCATTCTGATTGGAGCTAAGGGCATACAACTGTCGAACAGTCTACTTGGTTGTGCTCTAGCTCATCTAGTCTTTCCCATAGACTCCTGATCTCCACATTCTGGTCAGCCTGACCGACGTTTGTCAATTTCTCTATCATGGGTGCTACTCATCAGTATCAGACGGAGCTGGACTCGGTTAGCTAGATTTGTGGTGGCTAGTGTGAGCGTTGGCTGAGCCATTCTTTGGCAGGGAGTCGAGCACTGGCATGGTGGGACTGAGTGTGACTGTTGTTGGCTTAGATCCGGGGTTGGGAGTTGGACTTCTAAGATGGCTGGGGTGGCTCATTCTCTATCCTAGTCTTCGATTGTTCTATAGGGCACCTTTTTGGGTCCTCAGTCCGAGGATCAATTGTCGTGGGCACCTACACGGATGGGAGAGTAAGTTGGGGGACTTGTTCATATTGCCCCAGTGCTTTCATCATCATGATTATGCGGTCAAACTTCTGTTGCAGAGCATTGAATTGGACGGGGTCGACCTGGGCTTGTGGCTGAGCCTCCCGCAGAGGGTAGTTGCATTGTAAGCGGGATCCCTGAGATGGGGAACATGCTCCAGAGAAATTGGAAGTGTTCTTAGGCATTCCAATGCTCAAGTCATTTAGGGAGATAGGAGATTTGTCAAGATGAGCTAAGGAGAACAAACTAGTCCAGACTGCGGTGAATGCAAGGGATGCTAAAGTAGGTTGAGAGTCCAAAGTTTTTTACCTTGAGGGGGAGATGCCTTTATATAGTCGAACATTTGTGTTGTAGTCGGATGAGGTCCGCGGGATTTTCGGAATGAGGTCGTTTGCCAATGTTCCCTGGAGGTTCCCTTTTCCCCCGCGAAGCATGTCTCCTGAAGTAGATGTGCTGATGTGGTTTGAGGAGGTCGGCCATAGAGACTAACATGTGGTGGCTTTGGCCGGCTCAGGCACCACCCAAACAAAAGTCATAACCGTATTTAGAACACAAAGAGTAAGAAGCAATGTAAAAAAAGTCGCTTCTCATATTCACAAATGAATGTTAGCAAGGAGTTATTTAGTAAGGGGACATATAAAGAGACCATTAAAATTAAGGAAGAATGCAATGTAAAACTTGAAGATTATTGACATTGCAAGGTGCCAACCATGTGTAGCCCCCCTTCACCTAGGTTGGTAAGGTCTCTTGCTGGTCGTAGCAGAGACTTGGGATCAAATCCCACCCGCACTTTGGGTGGGGGATGGGCTATGCCCCCAGTTGTGTAGCCCTTCAAAAGAAATAATAAAAAGAGAAAAAGATCATTGACATTGAAAATGAGCTACACCCAACTAATCAAACTTGTGTACAAGGTTCATCGGATAACCATATGTTCATTCCCAACTCCATCAGGAACCATATGTGGGTCTCTAGTCCAATTCTAAGTAGAGATGGCAATTTCTACCCTACCCAATGGGTACCTGCCCCTACTCATTCCGCTGGGGCGGGTTTTTTTTTTTTTAAGGGTGGGTTTTGGGGTAAGGACGGGCTTTGGGATTCTATAAGCTATACAAGTATGGGTGGGGTACAGTATTAGACTAAAACCAACCCTCCCCAACCCACATATTGTATGAAAGTATCTAAACTTTATGTATTGGGTATTGAATTTAATAATACTTTGAATTTTATGTGAAGGATAATTAATAGTTTAGTGTTTTTACATGTCTTAATCAAATAATTGGAAATTTTGTTGTTTATTTGTGTTATTTTACTTATTTATTGTTTATATATAACAAGAAATAATGGAAAATTAGATATGGATTCTAAACCTAACCCACCCCTACCCAAGGTTCAAAAATCAATACGATACGCCCCATATCGGGCATATCGTATCGTATCTTTTGGGTCCCGATACGCCTGTTTACAAGTGTTTCGGGACCCTACTGTTTTTTAATGAAAAATATAGGTTAAAAACTCCCCAAAAACCAAAATTTGGAGAAAAAATTAAAAAAAAATCATATTTCCGCATTGAACCATGCCCCTACCCTTGAATGCGGGAAGGGTAGGGTTTTGAATTTTCATGTACAAGAAGGATTTGGATTCTCAAAATCTAACCCGCTACAAGTTTTGGGGCGGGTATGGGTTGGGAGTTGGAATAGGAACAGGGCGGGATGGGGGCAGGTAGTCACTCCCCATCACCGTCCCCGCAAAAATCCTCATCCCCGTCCCCGCCAACAGGGATAAGGTTATCCCCATCCCCATCCTCACGGGGATCCCCACTCCCCATGATCTTTTATAATGCCAACCATTTTGTTTTTGTTTTTTTTATTTTTTTTAAAACATTAAAAGTAAAATAATTAAAATTTACTATCCTATTAAAAAAATTCAAATATATTCAACCATATTTTTAAAAATATTAATATATAGATGTATCCATACATATATACATATATACATATATAAACAGAAGTGCCATAAGGTGGGGATCGAGGTCCTCGGTGGGAAGTGCTCTTCCCATACCTGCCCTGTCCCCGGGATAAAAATTTCTCCATCCACATCCCCATGGCAGAAAAACCATCCCCATCCCTACCCTATTCAAAACAGGTCCTCGTGAGAATCAAGAAAATGAGAAAAATTGCCATCCTATTTGGGAAGTTTAAGAAGGCAGGTAGTAGGGTCTAAAATTTACAACCCTCCCTGAACCCGCCCTGTTTCCCATCCCTAATTGTGATGCTCTATGTTTGTCGATCTAACCATCAAAAAGCGGTAAGTTTTAGTATTATCGCTTGGGTGGTTCCAATAATTGGGATATCAAATTGATGACCAATCAAAGAACAACATTTTCGGCCAATGCCCATTTTGACATAGGGTGGAAATAGGAAATGAAAAGTAACATATTTAATGGAAATAGGTAATGATGGGTGGAAAAGCATTTCAGCGAAAAAAAAACAAAGTTAATGGAAATGTAGAATTTCGTTCATTTTAAGATGTAAACCTTTTAGATCTTAGAAGTCTTGGAGGAGTCAGAACCTGCCACCTATTATTGAATCTCACCATCGTTCTATCACTCATATGCAGTTCAGTTTCCGGGGTTAACATCCATGATGCCATTCAGATTAATTTGGCCAGACTAACATATTAAAGAAAAGGATTATCAAGTTAAGTGGTAATTAATGAGGTATCTGTCTAAAAATTTAATGAGGTGTTCAGAAGTCGACAAATGAAGCCTTTTCACTTAAAAAGGAGGTTTTCATTGTCAATACAAAATGTATAGACCAAGGAAGTCAACTTTCTAAGATTGGAACTTGGAGTCTCTCAATTTGACAGCTTAACACGAAGGTGACTCTTTGCTTCTTATGTTACCCTTCTGATAAATGAATGAAAGAATAGCTGTATTAACAAATTAACATTTCAACTTGAATTCTCAAGAGGAAAGAATGGCCTTGAGTGCATCTTTCACAAAAGGGTATTTAAACGAGAAACCCAACTCAGTAGCTCTTGCAGGAAGCACCTTTTGACCTTCCAGAACCTGCACCCAATTCAATCACTTCTAATCAACCAAAAGTGATTTGAAGAAATTACAGCAGAGATAAACAAAAAATAAAAAAGAGGGAACAGAAGCACTTACCACAGTAGCACCTTCACCAAGGACTGCCTTGAGTGCAAAGTCAGGTACAGGAAGCCATGATGGCCGACCCATGATTTTTCCCAATTGTTCACACAACTCTGCCAGTCGAACAGGATTTGGAGAAGTTCCATTGATGACTCCTAAGGGGATGTTCATTTAGTATGAATTTGAAGAGGAAATTACAATAACTGAAATGTGCCAACAGAAGGCAGCCAGAGGCAGAGCCAGGGATCCATAGGGGGAGGGGTGGGGAGTGGGGGGAGGGACACCAGATTAGGAAATGCCAGTATGCCACATCCTATCATTCCTCCCACATAAACAAGGCACTTTCAGCATTTTGGGGGTCATGCCTCCCATCACCCATCAACCCCTTTGGATCCACTTCAGGAAGGCCCCACCAACTGCAATTGGGCATTTCAGGAATGGCAGGCCATCCATGCATGGAGTTTTGTGTAATGGAACAAATGGCTTTCCCATTAGCAAACGCATTTTCATGCATCAAGGCAAAAAGACAGCAATGAGAATAGTGTTGACCAAATTAATATCAAAACACAAAAACAAGACAATGGAATGAGAAGGTTGTCATGTCCAGCTCCAAGTTGGACATTAATGAAATTCTGTACTAAAGATTGCACCTGCAGAGCTACCCCTCAAATTTGATACGTTATATATAGACTCATTACATCATATACTATGCTAATTTTTGGAATATGTCATGAAGAGTTTAATAATGCCTCATAGATCAATTAATATTCAAACTATAGTACATTTACCTTTATAAGATGGGTTTGATAAAGCTTCATAGATTAAATTCACTATGTCATCCAAATGAATCCAGGAAAACCTACACATAAAAGAAAGCTATTAATTCTATTAGAATAACAGATCAGGAAAAAAAATTGCCTAGGATAAGAAACTGTTAGTGAAGAAGTTTTGCCAGTCAGAACAAAAGAGAAGATAATGATCTCAAAATTAACCAGAATTTTCAATATGTCCGAGTTTTTAATTATTATTTTTTTTCAATTATAAAACTAATTAATGGTTAAATAGCGGAACGGTGTCATTAAATCCTATAAACACTGGATGATAGAAATTAAGTATGTTGTTACCATTGCTTTCCACTTCCCAAGGGTCCACCAGCAAACATCATGAATATAGGGATCATTTTGGCTGTGCACCATAATCAAAGAATTAGGAATTTATGCAGCAACAAAATTAAATGATCCAGAGGACAAAGTTCATCACCAAGCTTATGTACGGAAATCTGGTCAACATTAACTGGTGCTACTAAACAATTACAAGAATAACTTTTGCATGGCATTAATTGCAACAAGAAAATTGCTATAAAAGCATTTCCATGGAAGTAAAATGCAACTATAAAATTGCACTAATAAAATTTGTATATAATTGAAGTTGAATCTAATAATAAGCATGAATTTTATTCTCATTTTTAAACATCTGAAAAATCAAGATTAGCCATAATAAATTCCTGTAGGTAGCATATAGACAATCAATATCATTAATGATGTATATTGCTCATTGATGGAAGCCGTAACTGTCAAGGTGATGCCTAGGCAACAAGGCGCCGTTGGAGGCTCACCTTACCTAATTGCAAAGAAGCTTTGTACATTGTTGAGCAAGAGCAAGTGAAGAGAGGAGAGGAGAAGAGAGAAGAGAGAAGAGTCGTGTGACTGAAAGCCCTCTTGAACATAGGGGGCRAAAGAATGATTTTATTATTTATACTAGTACAATCGAACAATATAAACAGAGGAGAAATTCCAACAGTACCCTTATGGTACTAAACCTGAATACATAMACAACTGTCAACACTCCCCCTCAAGTTGGAGCATAGATATCAATCATGCCCAACTTGTCACAAAGATCATGATGTCTGGAAAGGTTTAAACCCTTTGTAAA